TCAAAACCACAGCATTGACAAGGTACCATTTTGTGGTCCCAGATAAAGTCCTTAGTTTTCCTGGATAATGGTCCCTCTGCCCTCACACCTCTATACCTACTCCTGCTGGATGGTAAGCGGGGGTGGGGGTTATTATGTTCTTGCCTTCGATCATCACCAACCTCAAGTCCTGGAACCCTCCTATGACTTAGAGTAGACCCGGAAGCTCTAGATCTAACTGGATTGAACTGAGACGCTCTCCCAGGCACCCAGCTGACCTGTGTGGCGTGACACTCGTGAGTTGTGTATCAAGTGATTGGCTGCGAGAGTGGGGCAGGCCTGGGCAGACTTTCAGAACAGTGGCTATGGAAGAGTCATCCAAGTGGAACCACTTCCAGAGTTGGGAGCCAGGTTCTGACCTCACGGCACACTGCTCTTCTCTCGGGAGGGGAAGTTTGAAAGCTGTCACCTCAATCACAAAAGCAGCTGAGATCTGGGGGGCCTTTGACATCTTCTTGGGCATGCCCTGAGAGGCATTCTTCTGCTAAATGGTTTATATACTTCACAGTGAAGTCACAGCATACGCACATTTAACTTGCAAAAATTCTACCATGCATCCTTAGCAAAAAGAGGAAGAGAATTCAATAAAGTAAGGGATGCCTCGCTAGTATATCTGATGACTATGCAGTGGGTACAGTCGTGCCTGAAACAGTAATGCTTGTTTACTGAAGCCTTTGGAAATATCGTGCAAATGACTATAAGGGTTTGCTCCAGAAAGTGAAGCCATTGTGTCTGGTAGCAGGTATGAGAATGGCCACAGAGGAAAGTGAGGAATTCATTGAGGATAATTAATGAAGAGTTAGGGAATCTAGGAAAATTATCTTCAGTATTGACCACACCAAACTATGTATTTGGAACTATCCTTTGTTTTGCAATTAAAGGATTTTAATGGTTACTGTTGACTACATATGTATGAATTCACCCTTATAAACTGACTTTTAAACTTAATCCACATCAGATATGACCCCCACTGTATCTCACCTGAACTTCCCTGAGGCTCCCAGAGGTGAAGTAGCATGCCAGAATTAACTAGCCCGTACATAAATGGCAGGGACAGAATTCAAATCCATGCCATCAACAAGGTCTAAATGCATAGCCGCTGCTCTTTATGGCATCATTTATAACTCTATCGCCTACACAACTGGGAGAATGAGTATGACTCTGAGATGACTAACCTACTGGCTTGCCGAAGACTTAGGTATTTTCTAGGAGTTTCAGTTTTAAAACCAACGCAGTCCCAGGCAAATGGTGATGGTTGGCCAACCAATTTGAGGTTTTAAAGGCTCTGAGCCACACTATGTGACCATCCTATTTCATTAATCTTTCCATTCTGAATCCTTCCTCTGATATTCTATGACTGGACCTTGTCCTGAGTTATAGGCCTGTCAATAACGCCTTGAAGGTTAAATAGTGTCTTGGGATAAAGCAAGTCTATGAGACCTAAGACAAGTCCATTTGCAATGGCCTTTTAGCTCTCTATTTGAGTCTTTGCTGAAGTCCTGAGCTCTCTATTGGGATCAGCCCTTTGATAATGAAAGTAATCAATGGCTGATCATGTGCTTTATAAACCCATCTTCATGATTTGCTTGGAGGTTGTGAATTGTAACAAGGTGAATGAAGCCAGTGAGAAAGAGTTGTGCTGCAATAGCTTTCCCCATGAGAGGAGGAACTGAAGCAATCAAAAATGAGATGTAGACCAGAAATTCTCCAAAGAAGTTATACAAATGGCCAATAAGCACATGAAAAGATGTTCAACATCATTTGCCATCAGGGAATTGCAAAGCAAAACCATGAGATACCACTTCACCCTCCCTGGGTGACTCTCATGAAAAAGACAGATAATAACTGGGAATGAGAATGGAGAAACTGGAACCCTCATATATTGCTGATGAGATTGTAAAGTGGTGCAGCCACTTTGGGAAGCAGTCTTGCGGTTCCTTAAATGGTTAAACCTCAAGTTAACATATGACCCAGCAATTCTGCTCCTCAGTGTATACCCAAAAGTAATGGAAACACATATCCACACAAAAATTTGTACGTGTGTGTTCACAGAAGCACTATTCACAACAGTCAAAAGGTGGAAACAACCCAAATGTTCATCAATAATAGATAAATAGAATGCGGTATATCCATACAATGGAATATTTATATAAAATATAAAATGTTTTTAATAAAATTTTCCATAAAAAGATAAATACTGATACATGCTACGACTGGATGAACCTTGAAATATTATGCTAAGTGGAAGAAGCCAGTAACAAAGGCTACATATTGTATGACTCTAGGTGTATGAAGTATCCAGAAAAGAAAAATCTATAGAGAGAAAGTAGATTAGTGGTTGCCAGAGGCTGGAGAATGGGGGAATTATAAGATGATAGTCAAGGAGTGCAGGGTTTTTGGGGGGAAGGTAATAAAAATATTCTAAATTTGATTTTGATGAGGGATGCACAGCTCTGAATACACTAAAACCCATTGAATTGTACACTTCAAATGGCTGAATTTTATGGTATATGAATTATATCTCAAAGGTATAAAAGAAAGATTGAGAGAGAAAAAGGAAAAGAATGAAGATTGTTCTGATTCTTGCTTCTGTCTCCTAGCACAGCCAAGACCACATCACAAACCTGCTGACTCAACAAACTTACACAAAATTCAAATTCAGCAAGTCACCATGTCATCACCCATCTCCATGTCACCTAGAGAAGTGCCAGGGTTTTAAAGTCCCTCTTACTACACTCTGATGCCTGTTTTTTCATGGAAGTGAAGCTCCTTTCTTTGGACTCAACTGATAGGACATTTCTGATTATTCAACCTGGATAGGGCTCAAGGTATTACTGCAAAAGCACTATCTCCAACAAAGAGTTTGCTAAGCAAATTGACATTATGAATGTGCATTCACAGACTCATTAAAGCTACTTAAAAAAATTGTTTTTAAAGTTCACCAGATGAACATGCATAGATGCAACTAATAAATACAAATGCCCATTCCTAGCAAGCGCTCTATCTGGAAACATAGTTCAGGAGCTAGGAGTTAGTTTCAATTATTAGAAGTATTTTGGGGAAAAATCATAAAACAATTTATTTTAAATCATTTAAAAAGGGTCTATTCTCTATAACCATTTAAGCTCCCTTTTTTCACTTATGCAGAGTGACTTTTTTACTATTATAATAACTCCACATTAATGAACATTTTATTCTATTTAATAAGTTTTTAAAAATATTGCATGCGCAGGCATGGGCTCTGAAATTTACTTAGGTGCTTAACATCTTTGAGGCTCATTTTCTCTTCTGTAAAATGGAAATAACAATATCACCTGCTGCATAGTTGTTATGAAGGTTAAATTGGTTATTATATGTAAAGCCTTTAGAATAGTGTCAAGTGCTATGTGTATCAGTTTGGTTTTTTTTTTTTTGAGACAGAGTCTCACTTTGTTGCCCAGGCTAGAGTGAGTGCTGTGGCATCAGCCTAGCTCACAGCAACCTCAAACTCCTGGGCTCAAGCGATTCTTCTGCCTCAGCCTCCCAAGTAGCTGGGACTACAGGCATGAGCCACCATGCCCAGCTAATTTTTTGTATATATATTTTTAGTTGGTCAATTAATTTCTTTCTATTTTTAGTAGAAATGGGGTCTCACTCAGGCTGGTTTCAAACTCCTGACCTCGAGCAATCCGCCTGCCTCGGCCTCCCAGAGTGCTAGGATTATGTGCATCAGTTTTATTGTCTTGACTTGGCCAACTAGGCATTGAGCCTAAAACAACAAATTAATCTGGACAAATCCACATCACTTTGTTGCACCACCTCGGGAATTTGTGTTTGTAAAAGAATCCAAGCATTAAACCATGGATAGGTTAAACTGGTGCTTTCTCAGCACAATTCTATGAATAAGAAAGGTGGTCATGGCAAAGCAGCCTAAAGAAGGAATGGATACTAATTAAGGCTAAGTTTGAGAATATTTTTTTAGGCAGAGAAAAGTTTACAGAATTCCACAGATAATTTTTTTTCCAAATTTATTTGAAAACAGCATTATGTTCAGTACAAGAGACTCTCAGACCTCCATCATTTCTCTGGAATGTTTTTGTATCTTGTGTGAATCTGCTAACCAAGTCAGCATCATCCAGCTTGTAATGGGACAAATGAGTTAAATACTTCCTAGTAGAATAGCTTTTTAAGGTTGAGATGTAATCATTTCACAACTTTTGTTACACACAAGTGCTTTTCTTGATGATGCAAGTACATACATGTTCAACTTATTAGCATTTATTTACAGTTCTACTAAAAACCATTCCCAAATTGGCTGACTCATTTTGGCAGGGACAAAATTTTCACATACCGACATGAACAGAGAAGTGGGTTGTTTGAGTATGGAGGGAAGCATTTAATAACTGATTGAGGCAGGAGTGCCAGAACCTCATTTTGCTCAGGCCCACTTTGCACTTCGTGATGCATTGATACTTCAGAAAAGAATGAATACTGTTGGTATCACAACTCCAACAAGTGTTCTCACTCTTTTTCTGTCTATTCTATAAGGTTCACTCATACTGACTATAGGGCAAGCTGGTTGTTCATGACACAAGTGTGAAAGAATACCATTTCTTTCAACTACTTAAGAAATATGGAACTGGCCGGGCGCTGTGGCTCACGCCTGTAATCCTAGCTCTTGGGAGGCCGAGGCGGGCGGATTGCTCAAGGTCAGGAGTTCAAAACCAGCCTGAGCAAGAGCGAGACCCCGTCTCTACTATAAATAGAAAGAAATTAATTGGCCAACTGATATATATATAAAAAATTAGCCGGGCATGGTGGCGCATGCCTGTAGTCCCAGCTACCTGGGAGGCTGAGGCAGAAGGATCACTCGAGCCCAGGAGTTTGAGGTTGCTGTGAGCCAGGCTGACGCCACGGCACTCACTCAAAAAAAAACTCTGTCTAAAAAAAAAAAAAAAAAAAAAATATGGAACTATCTTTGGTTCATAACTCAGAATAGGTCAGGGTGGTGAATTTCTTCCGAAAAGAAAGAAAAAAAAAATTCAATGTTCTAACCCCGACCTTTGAGAAAACTGGCCATCCTTCTGAAAGAACCATGCAGATACCATTGCAAGGAAGGCAGGCGCAGTGAGAACTGAGACAGCAGCTGGCCCAGGAGGAGTAAGTTGCTGAGCGATGTAATGGGGTCCAGGTGCGTGAGTGGATGAGGTGCGTGAGCTGATGCGTGCTGACCTTAGAAGAATGTCCCGAGGGGAGCAGAAGGGCCTACCTCAGGGCCCTCTGACTAGAACTGAAGTGGTGTTGTTTCAGACCACTCAGGGCCAGCAGCTGGAGTGAAGTTGAGCATCACCCTGGTTGGAATCCCAGCTGAGCCCCTTCATAAAAGGGCTGGGCAAACCCAGGAAAGCTAGGCAGATGCTCAGGGTTGTTTGTTTCATGTGTACAAAAGAAGGAAGAACATTCTATTTTACTCGCAATAATGTATATCATATTAGTTATCTACTCTGGCATTAGAAATGTAGCAGTTTAAAATGACAAGCATTTATAATCTCAGTTTCTGAAGGCCAGGATTCCATGGCTTCGTGCCGGGTGTTCCTGCCTCGAGTTTTCTCACGAGGCTGTAGTCAAGGCGTCAGTCTGGACTGTGGTTCCATCCGGAGGTTTGACTGAGGGAGGGTCCCGCTTCGAAGCTCACTCATGTGGCTGTTGGGAGGCCTCAGGTTGTCACTGGCTGTTGGCTGAAGACTGTTAGTTCCTTCCCAGGTGGACGTCCCAGGGCATCTCACAGCATGGCAGCTGGCTGTCCTCAGAGAGAGCCAGGGAGAGAGCCGGAGAAAGTGAGGAAGATGGAAGTCGTTTTTTTTGTAACCTAATCTCAAAGTGACATCCCATTACTTTTGCCTTATTATAGTCCCTAGAAGCCAGTTATTAGTCCAGCCCACTCTCAAGGGGAGAGGAGGACACAGCAGGAAGTGGGGACAACATGGGCCATCTCAGAGGCTGTTTGCTACATATACAAGTACACCTCTTTCCTGACTTGTTTACCCAGCACTGATTCTAGAAAGGGTCTGTAGCCTCATGCAAAATTAAATATTAATAGTTCCTGGAGGCAATCACCTCTGTCCAAAGATTAAGGACAGCTGAATTTGGCATTTTTAATGCACCACCTTTGTCCAGGCACAGTGGCTCACGCCTGTAATCCTAGCACTCTGGGAGGCGGAGGTGGGAAGATCACTTGAGGTCAGGAGTTTGAGATCAGCCTGACCAAGAGCAAGACCCTTGAATCTACTGCCCCTGCCCTGGCATCAACCACTTTCTAAGGAATCTTGATTCCTTCTATTGGAGAATGATATTTAGAAACCAGTATCTTGGTACCAGATGTGCTCATTGCTACTAGAACTTCCAGTAATGTCATTGCATTTAGACCCTCTTAGTGGACAGGGCTAGGGAATACAAACATGTATACTAACACATTCATATACACACATCTATATCTACCTATATGTATGTGTATTAAAATCCTATGAGTTCATACTGATACCTCTATTTGCAATCCATTTCTACCAGGTTCATTCAACTCCCCTCCCCACTTATTTGTAATTTCTTCCACTAACAGGTAGAAAAATGGCTGTTTTTACTAGAAATATATTTACCTATTTGTTCAAAACACACATATAAAACAGTTTCAGAAGTACTAACCCATAACCCTGTAAGAAATGAATTTACTAACAAGAGTATTATACTTGTGTTCCATTCTTTTTCTCTTTAGTCTTACAGAAGCCATTCAAAATACTATTTTCTAAAGTAAGTTAGTTCTTTTCTTTACCATTCTCTTCAGTATGGTCATGTTAATTTTTTTTACCATTTGTATTTCATTTTGGATCCCCACCACCACCTACTACCTTTTTTAAAGTTCACATTCAGTAAAATTTCCTGTTTGTAGCATACAGTTTTATAAGTTTGACAAATGCATAGAGTCAAGAATCTACCTCCACAGTCATGATACAGAACAGCCCAAATAGTTCTATTGCCCCCATATTTCCTCCTGCTGCATCTTAAATATCAAACCCTACTGCTACCCTCAATCCCTGGCAACCACTGATCTGTATTCTTATCCCTATAGTTTTGCTATAAATGTCATATAAATGGTATCATGCAATATGTAGCCTTTGGGGTCTGGCTTTTTTCAGCCAGCAAATTGCTTTTGAGATTCTGTCATGATGATGTGTGAATCAGTAGTTGTTTCCCTTATATTGTTGAGTAGTATTCCATCATATAGATGTTCCACCTTTTACTTAACCATTCCTCATTGAAGGGCATCTGAACTCTTTCCAGTTTGGGGTGATAATGAATACAGCTGCTATAAACTTACGTATAAGTTTTTATGAGAACATTAGTTTTAATTTCTCCTACGAAAAACCCAAGGAATAGGATTGCTAGATCATAGGGTAAGTATATATGGTCATACGTGTATGGTGGCATACATTTTTTAAATAACAATTTTGTTGAAATATCATTTATATACTATAAAATGTACAATTCGATGTTATTAGAATAGTTGGGCAGCCATCACCAGTATCTAATTTAGGACATTTTCATTGCCCTACAAAGAAACTTCATACCCTTTATCAGTCACTTTCATTCCCCTTCCCCCAGCCCCTGGCCACCACTAAGCTATTTTCTGTCTCTATGGATGTGTCTATTCTGGATATTTCATATAAGAGGAATCATAAGATATGTCATCTTTTGTAATTGGCTTCTTTCACTTAGCATTGTTTTCAAGGTTCATCCACATTGTAGCAGGTACCAATATGTGATTCTTTTTACAGCCAAATAATATTCTATTATATAAATGTATCATACTTAGTCAGTGGACAATGGCAGTCAATGGACATTTAGACTGTTTCCAATTTCTGGCAATTAAAAGCAATGTTGGTATGAAATTTATGTACAAGTTTTTGTATGGACGTTTGTTTTAATTTCTTTTGAGTATACCTAGAAGAGGAGCCTGCTTATCTGCTGACTATTTGAGGAAGTGCTAGACTGATTTCTAAAGTGACTGCACCATTTTACAATCCCACCAGCAATGAATGAGGGTTCCAATTTCCCCATATTCTTGCCAACACTGTTTAGTATTTGTCTTTTTTATTATAGGCATCTTAATGGGTATGAAGTAGTACCCTTCTGTGGTTTAGTGATATCCTTTTGGTTAAAAAAAAGAAAGGGAAACCACGGAATTAGAATAAAGAACCACCAACTTTGAACGCCATCCTATCAATTAACCCTCTTTTCCTCAAACCCCAGAATTCAAATTAAGAAAAAGAGGGTGATTTCTGAGTAGAGGGTTTTAAAAATTTTTATGCATTATATAAAAATATTTTCTGCTGCTTTAAAACAGCATATATACCAAATTAAAGGATTTTTTTAATTATGAAATTAATTTTTCTCTTGGGGTGATGGTGAGAGGAAGCCTAGTCTGGGAACCCCAGTACAATATGTAACATTGCATCTGTCCAAAACCACTCAAGTTCTAAACAACTGAATAATAAATAAAACGTGGTGTAGAATCCATTTTTAAATCAGAAACTTTCTAAGGTTAGTCTTAGAGTAGGAAAATATACTCCAGAGGGTTATTCCTGCAAGTGCCAAAGCAGCCCCCATGCCTTTGTCTGTGGAAACTAAGAATTCTTTAGTTGAAGGTATACCTTGGGCCCCAGAGTCCACCATTGCTCTTATTCTGGTGACAAAATGGAAGAACCAATCCTTGATTTCTCAGTAGGCTGCTACCTGACTGTCCTAAACCACAGAGTCAGGGCTAAAGTTGAAAGGGGACATTGAACATATTCAGAATAGAGTTTTTCCAAGGTCAGCCCTACATTAACTTTAGAGATCATGGCTACAGATTAAGTGGATATGATTTCCCTGTTTTCCAGACAATTTGTTTTCTGGTCATGATGACTGGACATCAGAATTTCATTAGCAATTAACATGGACTCTGTGTGCTAAAGGAAAACATTTTAACACATTTTGGATATTATACAGAACCAAGGGTTCAGTGTCCAAAGTACCTGGCAGTTGAAGTATGTTCCTTTTTAAAGCTACAGAGCAAAATAATCTCTGACATATTTCTCATTGTTTTTTGCAAAATCGAACACCCCTATAGAAGTCATTACTAAGAGTCTAGTTGACAACTGAATTAATTAATTGGATATAGATTATTGTGATGTCAAATGGAGCATATATCATTTGAAATAAAATCATAAAAATAAGAATTGAAGAAAAGTTAGAGGCAGAAATATCTGCCTACAGAATATCATTAAAATCACACATTAAAGGAAGCATGGATTTAATAATGTTCTACAATAAACTGTTGCTTAATATAAACTGTAATAAATAATATAGGCCATAATAATTGGCAAATCTGAGGCTAGCTAAAAGCTACTTGCATGGTAGCCAGAAAATTTGACCAAATTTTTATATTTTGAAGAATATATATATTTTTTGAGACAGAGTCTCACTCTGTTGCCCTGAGTAGAATACCATGGCCTCAGCCTAGCTCACAGCAATCTAAAACTCCTGGGCTCAAGCGATCCTCCTGCCTCAGCCTCCTGAGTAGGTGGGACGACAGGCACACACTATGAAACCCAGCTATTATATTTTTAGTAGAGATAGGGTCTCACTCTTGCTCAGGCTGGTCTCCAACTCCTAAGCTCAAGCAACCTGACCATCTCGGCCTCCCAGAGTGTTAGTATTACAGGAGTGAGCCACCTCACCTGGCCAGCATTTTCAAATTTGGGGAGGATTCAAGTCATTTCTATTTTATATTTTCAAATATATAAAATAAGCCTAGAGGTTATAATAATGTTTTCCATCCACCTTGAAACCCTGAGTTGTCATAAATGTAAAGGCAATTCTGGATTATCACTCTTGATTCAATTCAGCTCTGTAGGTTTATTGAACGTTGCTCAGCAGCGTGCTAGGAACTTAACACATATCCCTTCATGCAGTTTTCACAGTGGTCCAAAAAGGTAGTTATTAAATAAACTAGTTCCAAGAAATGCCACTCAATTCAAATTATCTTAGTCAAAATAAGTGGTTGTATTTATTGGACGGTTATCGGGGTAACTTGTAGGAGCACAAGAAAAACCTTAAGAAGCCAAGAATTTCTGGGAAACTTGAGGTAGAGACTAGGAATTTGATACCACTATGTCATTCTCAACCCTCCCTGCAAGCACAGCTATTTGTCATTCCCTAAGACTTCTCCATGTGGGAGAAGATGGGACCTGCTAGCATCTCTGGTTTTATATATGGCATTAACACTTCCTAACTGAGAAGGGAGGGGGCTCCTTTCACAACTCTATTGGAAAAGTCCTACGAAAAGATCAGAAGTGGTCCTGGGGCTGCCAAGGATTCTGCTCTGCCCGAGTTCCTGCCCACCCTTAAGGTAGAAAAGAAGGCAACTGTGAGACCGACAGAAAGATGTGAACGTGGGTGTCCTGACTCCAAGCCTAGGATGCCTTTGGTATGTACTGCACATAGCTCTTCCAGGGAGCTGGCTCACCCTGTGTCGTCACTCAGAGAGCTGGTGAAAGACCATATACGGCCAGGGCCCCGTCCAGGCAGGCCACGCTTGCAGGTGACTCAGCCTCCCACCCCTGCACCCTCAACCTGCCTTCAATTCCATTCTCCATTCTCGCTGGCTCTCAACATGTGGTCTGAATTATGCTTGTGAGGGAAAAACAAAAGGGAATCTAGTTTCATTAAAGTAAATAACTAATAAAGTTTTAAAAAGTAACCAAG